TGTTGGATTCAGAACAACAAACATCCTACAGCACATTTTCTTTCTTTTTTATGTATTTTAGTCCACAATGCTAAAACAAACCTGAGCTAGTTTAAACTGAAAATGTTGGAAATCGGTCAGGAAACTCCACATTGGTGCATTTTATAATCTGAGATTATTGTGGTGTTGGGAATATTTGAACAATGTTTTATGACAGATGTCTGTTTTTATTTAAAAGTGATCTACAATACTGCTTCCTTGAACATATTAGAAATTATCTGTGGTCTTTACAAAACATGTTCATGCACAATATCGTTCTTAGATAATGAAATTTTCTTTTGGTTAGTTCTGGGTATTTTTTTAGGGCTCTGTCACTTTAAATCCAAAGAAGATGACCGAAAGTGCTGGATATCTTTTTTGGGTTGCGAGGTGACGGGCTTGGCTTGGCTGGGGTTGCTAGGTAACGGCGTATTGTGACTTAACAATCGGGAGGTTTTTGAAACGGCTCATTTTCTAGACACCAAAAAACATTAACTTATTGCCAAAAACTTTTTGTTTTTTATGGATTTTTAGCGCTCAGATTGTTTTTAGAAGCAGTTCAGACAATGAGGAAGAATAAAAACATGTAAAACGTGAATTTTGTATTATAGGTCCTGTTTACAAATGTCAAATAGTGATTTTATCTCCTCTTATATGAACAAACCAGCTTAAATAAACCAAAGCAGAATTTATTTTTAGGCTGCCATCATCTGAAATGCATGACACTACATCTAAAATTGAAATTGCTTATTTTACATTTCTTTTTACATGTTTCTTCATAAATGTTTTTTTTTTTTTTTTTTGTTGAAGTAGAGTAGCAGATTTCTAAGTCCTTACTTTGTGAACAAAACTGTCTTCAAAGTTACGAATGAAACGCCCTAAGAGACCCAGTTAAGGTCACGTTAGTTTTCACCCTCCAGTCAGCCATAAACTCATTTATAAAAATATGTTTTTTTATTTTGGTTTTGCTAATAAAAAGGAACAACTTTAAGCGTCTCATTCCAATATTCCAGCCCAGTGCACACGAGGCATCTTTGATCCTTCATGTATATAAATAGAACCACTTTAATCCCTCATAGCATTCACAGCAGACTAGTTCAGCTCTTTGACCACCAATCAACACTTTTCCAACTCTCACTTCACCTTCCCTGCTTTCTCTGAGCTCTAATCACGAGCTTACGGCCTCTATAAGCTCTCAGCTGTGTGTGTGTGTGTGTGTGTGCGTGTGTGTGTGTGTGTGTGTGTGTGCATCTCGACAGGGCTGCAAAGCAAGAAGGAAAAAGGTTACCTGTTCCTGACCGGCCCTAATGAGAGGCTTAAATCTGGTGTTCATTGAATCCGCCGGCGCTCAGATGGAAGATGAGTGGCTGTCTCTTTTCATGCGGGAGACTCTGAGAGCTCTGCGGTCTCAGGGCGCCGCCACTCTGAGCTCGGATCAGCCAGCATGCTGCCTCTGCTGTTTACATGATCTGCCTCTGATCAAATAAGACCGCCAACAGATGACGGCTCTTATCTTTGGGCCGCCTGCTGTCAGCATGCGACAAAGAAACCGCTCTGCGCTAAACAAAATGAGTTGTAAAGGCCGTGATCTGTTTTTCTGTTTTTGTGATGATACGAGTTTTATTTTGTGTTTTCTGGAATACAGAAAAATACAACGGATCTGTGTGAAACTACTTCACATGCTCCCAAACTTTAGCTTTATTGTTGAGCAAGGAGAGCTGACAGGCTCACAGTAAATTTGGTGGATGAATCTGAATAATGTGGCCACTCTGGGGGAGCTGTAGAGATTCACGGCTCAGGTGGGACAATCTGTTGTGTACGCTGCAGATCTGACCTTAAGAGAAGAGTGAAAAGGTTGTGAAATTGTTTGAATCATTCAAAATAATTCACCTTGTGTATTTTTGTTTTGTTTTTGTGTGAATTCTCTTTCCTTTTGTTTATGCAACATATTGACTTATTAAACCCTGTTTCATATTAGATTATAGCCATAAAGGTTCATGTACTGGTTTTACTGCAAAAACACAAAATTTTACCAAGTATTTTTGTCTAGTTTCTAGGTCAGGGGTCACCGACTCCAGTCCTCAAGGGCTTAGATTCACCTCTGCTCCAAAATGTCTGAATTCCCTCACCAGCATTCATTCCTCTCTGCAATAGGCTGGAAACGAGCAGTTTATTTGATCCAGGTGTGTTTGAGCAGAGACACATCTAAAGGTTACAGGATGGTGGCCCTCGAGGACTGGAGTTGGTGACCCCTGGTTTAGTGCAAATATTTTAGTAAACTTGAAATAAGACAAAACTACCCTACAAGTAGCTTCTCAGCAAGATATAGGAGCTTGTTTTAGGTCAATAATCCTTTAATATTTATGAAAAAGTATTAATTTCTCTGGCAGATTATTTCATTCATAATGATGTTGAAACAAAATAATATATCTTGCTGAAATTTTACCTGTTAGTTTTGTTTCATTTCTTGTGCACTAAGATATTTCCAGTAAAAACTTGACCACAGACATCTTGGTAATATTTGGTGTTTTTGCAGTGAAACCAGCATTATACATTAACTTTTAATACTGTAGTCTAAAATAAATAATTCAATATGTTGCACAAACAAAAGAGGAAAAAAAAAACACATGGTGAATTATTTTGGACGATTCAAACAATGTGATTTTATTTTTAAGTGCACTCAGATATTTGCACTCAACATTTTACCAAAACCTTCTTGGTAAGCCTTTGTGTTTTTGCAGTGTGTGGGTTTAGCTGAAAGTCATAGATAACAATGGATAAACATCGTGAAATTTACGCTTTCGGCTCCCAAACTTGAGCCAACACTGATGAAACGGTGAGAGAACGAAGCCTCTTTGAAATGACAAAAAGACGATCCTCACCGTTTTTTATTTTGCTCTCTCGTTTGATCTTTAATGGCCAGGACGACAGATCCCAAAATTACACGGAGGGCTAAAACCGCCTCCAAAACGTCCTGAGCGATCAAAGGTGTTGCTGGCTCGGCCCAAGGCGAAGGCATGCCTGAGCCCTGCAGCTAAACAGAGGAATAAGTGGATCAGAACCAGGAGAAGGACGTGAAAGATTGTTCTTTCTGGGATGTAACTCTTTTAGCTGCAGTCTGGTGGGCTCTCCACACTGACATAGAGCGATGGACTGTCCCTGCGCCTCTTATCAGAGCTGCTGCAGCGTCTGGTGCAGAGACCTTCTCTCATTTTCACATGCACACTTTTGCATTTCTGCTTCCTCAGTGATCAGCTCCATGCGGCTCTCTACGGAGGTTTCCACTCTTGTTTCTGCTAAATTTCCTCTAATTTGATCAAATATGACAAACGGCGACGCTGTGTTGTACTCACTGCATGCGAGCAGTTCATTGTGCGTTGTTTAAGGTTCATAAATCTCCATTCTTTAGATCCCATTAATCTCTCAGATGATGTTTTCCGGATTGCACATGTGTTCAGTCACATTTCCAGAATTCCTGAATTCATCATTTCAGGTTTTTCCTCCAAAAGCTGAATGTTTTGGTTGACTGCCTTTTTTCATTTTTCTTTCCCCTTATAAAAAGCGAGCATTCTCCTGGAACAGACCTTCCACCTCCCGTTCCCAATATAAATCATTATGACACTGTTGCTGGTATGGGTTTCCTTTATTGGACGTTTTTTTCTTCGTTTCTGTGCTCTGGCTGCACGAGCTTGTCAGCCTGCACCAGCGGATGAGATCACTCTTTATTCCAGAGTGTCGTCTCCTTAGTTTCCTGCCCCTGATTGCTTGCCGGTGTTTTCCCTTGCTGATTGGGAGGCATAGCACACAAGACAGGCAGAAAACGCAGCATGAAGCAGTGACATACTGCGAAAACACAAAACATTAACAACTATTTCTGGTCCAGTTTCTACTGGAAATATCTTAGTTTTGTCTTACTTTAAGTGAACCAACTTACAAGTAACGTTTCAGCAAGATGCAGGAGCTTCTTCTCAGTTAATGATCCCTTAATAATCATTAAAATGTTCCAGTTTCATTATTTCACTTATGATGACATTTTCTCATACCAATCAATCAATCAAGTTTATTTGTGTAGCACATTTCAGCTGCAAGGCAGTTCAAAGTACTTTACAGAATAACAACACCAGTCAACAACTGAACAGACATCACCAAAATCATCAACTATGTTGATCGATGTTTCATTTATTATAATTCAAAAGCAACTCTAAAATTTTTGGAAGTTTGTTCCAGATTTGTGGCGCATAGAAGCTGAATGCTGCTTCTGTTTCATCATAAGTGAAACAATCTGTCAATGGAACCGGTTCTTTTTTTTATTACTATAAGAAATAATTTATTTAAAACAAGCTTCTGTTTCTTTCTGAAAAGTTACTTTTATGTTGGTTTTGTCATATTTCAGGTGAGCTCAGATGTTTGCATTAGCAGCTGGACCAAAAACACTTGGTAAGATTCTGTGTTTTTTGCAGTGATGCTGTTATTTCACTGCCATCCATCAGCAGGTTCAGCCTTGGATCCGTTTTGTGATTTACGTTTTTGAAAGATTGAGTAACTCGGCCCAGATCTCCTTCATTTTGGGAGATTGGTGATCAGCCGATTCTTACATGTGAAGCCGATCTTATCAACCTGGGGAAAGAGCTAGAAATCAACCACTGTCCTCTTCTGCTCTCCAGTTAGAGAGGTTTGACCTGCAGACCACCAGGTGTTTGCAGGTAACAATAGTCACCCACTGTTACCATCTCAGCGACTTTCTTTCTGTATTTAGCAACATTTCTGGTTAAAAAAAAAAAACTTGGTCTTGACCAAAATTTGAATCGGCAGCAGGTCATGGCTTTTAAAGATGAGAAATATCGTCCAGAAAACTTAAGTCGGTGCACCCTTATCGAGCACTTATTTTGGTTTTAATAAGCTTTTTTTAAAATCTATACCAGATTTTCTTGGTATTCTACTTTTGTCCTGTTTTTTGAATCCCTGCTCGTTTTGCCCCTCAGCGCTGCTGCGAGAGGAGGTGGTCCAGCTTCAGGAGGAGGTCCACCTGCTGAGGCAAATGAAGGACATGTTGAGCAAAGACCTGGAGGAGACGCAGGGCGGCTGCTCCGCCAACCTGCTGTCTGCCACCGAGCTCCGGGCCCAGCTGGGTGACAGGGAGCAGGAGCTGGACCGCGCCAAGGAGGCCTTACAAGGTCAGGAGAGTCGCCTCTTCCAACGCTCCTTTTGTTTCCAGCAAACACAGCTGGGCTTCAAAACAAACAGCTCCTCAGGAAAGGAGAGTCAGAATAACTGAGGCAGTTTACGGGGAATTTGTTCACTAACGTTTGCTAGAGGATAAACTGCAACATTATTGTCGTTTTCAGACCATCTTCAAGGAATATAGTATAATAATAATAATGTAGGTTCACCCTCTGAAAGAGCAATAAACTTTAAAGAACCTGAAAGAACTGGAAGACATTTTAAATATCTAAAATAAATCATGGCAACCAATAACTATGAACAAGACAGGGATAAAAATCAGACAAAATCATAACCAAGATAAAGTGGATTATAAAGTCTCTGTTACCAAAGACGCTCTTCAGAAATATTAATAATCAGAATAGAAATTATTAAGCTCATGTTAATTTATCATGTTGCTTTTTGCGACAGCCTTACCTAAAACTCTTCGAGTTAATTGTGGTTCAGGTGAATACCTTGAACGTTTTTCTGCTTCAAAGTTTTTATTTGACCGTTTTTCTGCTTCAAAGTTTTTATTTGACCGTTTCTCTTTTAGAGGCTCGTTGTTACGCAGACGTGCAACTACAATTATTTTTAATCAACAGGAATTGTTTGGTGGATTTTTTTTTAAATCTACACAGGATGAACAAGATGAAACATACAAGTCAGTTCAAAGGGCAAATATTAAACTGCAATGTGTGGAAACCAGTTAATTTAAGGATGAGTTAATCCAAAATGACCTAAAATAGGAAACCGTTGGTCTAATTTAATCAGTGTGGGAAATCAACATCTGGTCTGTTAATATGAGGCTTCAGTAAAGTGGAAACCTGTACTGAAGGTTACTCCTTTTTAAAACATCCCTGAAGTTGTGTTAAACGTCACGGTTTAATGCCTCATTATAATCATAAATAATAAGACAGTATTGTGTTATTATACTTTAACCCAACCAAACAATGTTCTTATATTTTAATGTCTTCTTCATTTTGTAGTTTTACTTTCAGAACAGAAACCAATACCAGTGCTGTTGTTTTAAAGTCATCCATGTTTCTTTCACTTCATTGACCTTTGACACGCCTCATTAGGAACAAATGTAAATTACTGTCTGAATAACATCAAGAGTCTCTCGTGTGACTCTAGTTCTGTTCAGTTTCTCTATGCGACATCAGTTCACAACAAAAGTCATCAAATATGAACTTAATTGGATCAGAACTGGTTCTGAGAGGTGGGTGTTGTCCTTGATGAGCAGCCAGCAGCAGAGCTGGATTTTACCAACATGAATCGTTTTTATTCATGTCGGTGAGATCACTGGATCCTTTCCTTCTTATTCTTCCCTGCACTGCAAAAACAACAAATATATTTTAGTCTAGTTTCTACTGAAAATATCTTATTTCACTTGAATTAACACAAAACTAACTTACAAGTAACTTATCAACAAAACACAGACATTTGTTTTAAGTAATTAATCCCTTAATATCTATGAAAAAGTTCCAGTTACATTGGCAGATCGATTTACATGTAACAAGACAATTTTCCCATCTTATAAGTGGAATAATCTGCAAATATATATACAGCTCAGGAAAAAAAAACTCAGTTTCTCTGATTTTACTCTTTATAGGTCAATATTTGAGTAAAATGAACATTGTTCTTTTATTCTATGAACCACTGACAACATGTCTCTGAAAAGCCAAGCAAAAATTTAATATTTATTTAAATGAGAAATGGTCAAAATAACGAAAACGATGCAGAGCTTTCAGACCTCAAATAATGTAAGGAAAACAAGTTTATAATCATTTAGAAACAACAATACTAATGTTTTAACTCAATAATAATAATGAGGTTAATTTTTTTCCAGAGCTGGACTTTTTTTTCATCAATATCAGTGAATTATTTACTTAAAACAAGCTTCTATATCTTGCTGTTACTTTTATGTGAGTTTTGTCTTAATTCAAGTACAATAAGAAATTTGAAACTAGACTAAAAATGTGTAAGTGTGTTGCTGTTCACAAAGAAGAGAAACAACAAAAATGAGACGTTTGTGCTGGACGAGAGGAATTAAAATGAAAGTGGCTGACAGGAGCTGTGATTATCGGTGGTTTCCCTGGTTTCCTGTTCAGACTTCAGCAGGTGCTGAGCTGGAAAACCGGTAACCGTCACCGACTCCCGCAGAAAAGGTTCCCGGTGGTTCCGCGGTAACCGCGCGGTGATCTCTGGCAGCAGGCATGCAGCCGGAGTCACACGGCTCAGGAATGAGCAGCGGCTCGCTCCTCCTCAGGAAGACACGGCCCACCTGTTGCTGCTGCCGAGCTGCTACGCCTCGGTGAGGATCTGGGAAGAGACGATCAGATGTTTTCCGTCTTGTTGGGAATGAGTCTCGACACGCTTTCTGAAGATGCTGTCTCCGATGAATCGAAGCGTCCGGCTGTGCCTCTTGTTTTTTTGTCGATTACCTGCGTCTTCTGGCGGACTTGAAATGAAAAGAATAAAATAAAATAGAAGAAGTAGATTTTCATTAACAGAAGACGCAGCGCCACCCAGTGGCTTCCAGCTGCAGTTACACATCTTTATGTATGTCAGTCAAAAAGTAAAAACAGTAATAAACCTAATTATCATGTAAAATGACTTTTAATTTTATGTAATTTGCTCAAAAAGGAGCAGGTAGAAGATTAAACTCAAACATTTAAATCTCACCTTACCAGATAAACTTAAATTATCCCCACATTGAATGACACATTTATGGTTATTTTTTATTTAACTTTTTTTTTTTTACAAATAAACAATAATTTTATATAAAAAATCTAAAAAAAAATTTAAATTGTTTATATTTTTAAATGTAAATATAAACATAATTTTTATATCTTCTATATCTTGCTGATAAGATGATATAAAATAAATATTTTTTTATATTTTTTATAAAAATGAATACAAAAACATTTTTTTTTATTTAATTATAAATTTAAAAATATATATTTATACATTTTTATATCAAGAAGAACATTTTTGGTCTTTGAAACAACCATCCTATACAACATATTTCCCAATAAGCTCCTTTTTGAACAGTTTTTTTATTTATATTTGTATTTTGTTTAAGCTCATAATTTATCTCACACACTGATGTCTAAAACTTTTTTTGTTTTGTCTAATACATTGTTGTTTTTTATTTCCATCTCCTCTTAGATTATAACCCTCTGTCCCATTCTCTGTCCGTCTCTAAGCATTTTTTGAGTCTTTTGCTCAGTGTTGTGTTGCTCTGACTGTAAAGCTGTTGTGAGCGTCTCTCTGTGTTTGTGCTGCAGCCATGAAAGCGGACAGGAAGCGGCTAAAAGTGGAAAAATCGGAGCTGGTGAATCAGATGCAGCAGCTGTACACGACACTGGAGAGCAGAGAGGAGCAGCTGAGGGAGTTCATACGAAACTACGACCAGCACAGAAAGGTAACAGCAGGCTGGTGTTCTGAAGTTTACAAAACGTATTTACCGTATTTTTCGGACTATAAGCCTCTACTTATTCCCCCACACTTTGAACCATGCGGCTTACAGCCCGGTGCGGCTTTTCTGTGGATTTTTCTTCGACCACCAGGGGACTCTTTAGCAAGAAGTGAATCATTGGAAGTCAAAATTGGAAATCAGAGAAGAAAGTGCTGATTTTCATTTAGAACAAGCACATGCTATTAGCAGGCACGGCGGAGAAATGTTTTCAAACTCATATGATGCAGCTTTTAAGTTGCATCGATAGCCGCTGCACGTAAACTCGGCGTGAACGAATCCATGGTTCAGCGTTGGAGACGCAGGGCTTAATGGCAGATTTATTTATAGCCCCCTGCTGCGTCATTGTGGAAAACCAAGCGGTGGAGATGCCAGCGGCTTATAGCCCGGTGCGGCTTATATATAT